TTGCATCAGTAGCTCCTCATTTCTAGGCTGGACGCAGGCATCTGATAGGTCAAGCCTATGTCTTGTGCCCCTTCTTGCCATAGCTGCACAGGAACCTGACAAATGAAGCATCTGGTTTTTGGCTTCTATGGTGAAAGACAGACTCTGCTTTCTGCCTGACCTCACACAGTGGGAAAATGCACCACCATAGGAAAGAGGTTCAGATGTGGGGCAGCTGGAAGTAAAATCTGTCTGCTTCACCTTTCCACTGCCTATTTGGCTCCTGGCCTTTCTGGCTCCTCAATTACTTTGTACAACCAAAAACCTAATATAGTCATTGCTAAAAGGTCACCTTCTCAAGTCTCACCTTCTAATAACCCAAATCTTGGGCAATTTTGTTCTCTTAACCTTTCCTTTCTTTTGCCTGAAATGAAATTGCCTATTTCATTAACCCCAGTTTTAAAAACATGAAGGTCCATGCCCAAAATTAATGAAAGCTTTCTCAGGTGTCCAAAGTGATAAGTCATTTATGTTCTAGCTATGATTTAAGAGCAACTTTCAGACAACTTCTGTCCCTAAAATTCAGTTTTTATTTTGAGCTATTTCTGATGTATCCTGGAATTATAACAGAGAGAGCGGTCACAAGGGGAATGGATATTCCATAGATTCCCAAAGGTTGACTCTTCCGTCCAAGCATTACACCTGCACCATTCACACACCTGCACTATTCACATACCTGCCCTGCGCTGTTCATACACCTGCACCATTCATACACCTATACTATCCATACACCTGCACTATTCACACACACACACTGTCCACACACCTGCACTGTTCTTACACCTGCACCATTCATACACTGACACTGTCCATGTACCTGTGCTGTTCACACACCTACAATGTCCATACACCTGCACCATTCACACAAAAAGCACTATCTATACACCTGCACCACTCAAAACATGCACAGTCTATACACCTGCACCATTCACATACATGCACTGCTCATACAACTGCACCATTCACACACATGCACTGTCTATACACCTACACCATTCACACACATGCACTGTCCACACACCTGCGCCATTCAAAACATGCACTGTCTATACGCCTGCACCATTCACACAATGCACTGTTTATACAACTACACCATTCATGCACATGCACTGTCCATACACCTGCACTCTCCAATATTAGCCAGGTATGGCTACTGAGTGCTTGTAATAGGGAATATCCAGGTTACTTCTTTAAAGATGAAGACAAAATTTCTTAATATTCACTATAACCTACTGTTCCATGCTGTGTTTCCAGTCTATCTACCATAGCACTAGTTGAATGACTACAGAGAGTAGCTACTCTGAAAATGATTTTTTAAAGTGTTTTAGATTTTCCGTCTTTGAAATATACTAAAAAATGTAAAGACCAGACCAAATTTTGCAGCTGTAGTATTTATTCTGAATGTAAAATATCCCATTACTAATTTTTATATTAATTACATATTAAAATAGTAATATAGATATATTGACTTCAATAAAATGTTTTACTAAAATAAATGTCACCTGTTTCTTTTTACTTCTTTTTTTTTTTGAGATGGAGTCTCACTCTGTTGCCCAGGCTGGAGTACAGTGGTGTCATCTTGGCTTGCTGCAACCTCCACCTCCCAAGTTCAAGCAATTCTCCTGCCTCAGCCTCCTGAGTAGCTGGGATTACAGGCACGCATCACGGCACCTGGCTAATTTTTGTATTTGTAGTAGAGACGGGGTTTCACCATGTTGCTCAGGCTGGTCTCAAACTCCTGACCTCATGATCTGCCTGCCTCGGCCTCCCAAAGTGCTGGGATTACAGGTATGAGCCACTGCGCCCAACCTCTTTTTACTTCTTAAAAGTAACCCCTAGGTCATTTAAAATTACATATACGGCTTGCATCATGTTTATATTACACTACTCTACACACTGAAATGCACCTGTAAATTTCAGTCAATTAGTATGTGGCCCTGAAGAAGCCATACCACAAAACAAGAAGAAACCTCTGAGACCAAACAGGCACAATTATACTTTTTGAAAATGCTTATAAAATTATCTTGCATGAACAAAATAAATCTATTCATCATTCAGTTAGCAATGTTCTAGTTTAAGAAATTAATTAACCATTATTGAGAATCTACTATGTGCCATACACTATGTTGGAGAATGGGACAACTGTGAACAAATCAGACCCAGCCACTGCCTTCGTGTAAAGTCAAGTAATCAAGAGAGCACACTTGGGAGCCTGACAACTTGGGTCCAAATTCTGACTCCATCCCTTACCAGCCATGTGATCTGGAACAAGTTAAAATAGCCTTAGTTTTCTTATATATAAAACAGGAATTTTATCTGGCAAAGATGCTGCAAGAATTAAATTAGTAAAAGGCAAATAGAAGCATACCATATTAGTCACCTAGTGCTGTATAACTTAGCAGCTTAAAACAACATGCATTTATAAGCTCACTGATTCTTTGGATCAGGGATGGAGGCAGAGCTTCTCTAGGTCCTCTGCTCTAGGCTCTCTCACAAGGCTTCAATGAAGGTGTTAGACAGGGCTGGGGCCTCAACTGAAGGCTTACTGGGGAAGGACTGACTTCCAGGTTCACTAAAAAATGATTGTCATCATCTTTTGGGATGTTGAACTGAAGGCTTTAGTTTCTAGCTGGCTGCTTCTTGCTTGGGCATCTCCAACCTGGCACTGGGTTTTATCAAAGCCAGCCAAAGAGAAAGTCTGCTGTTAGGACAGCTAAAAAGCCCTGCCTTCATGGAGCTTACATTTGAGCTGGCTGTATGGCAGAGGGTATTGGGAGGTTGGTGGAAGAGAGACAGGTGGTAGCAATAGAAACAAGTAATTGCTCAATCTAAATTCCATTAAGGTTACACCCCCAAATTATAGAATGTTCATTCTAAAATGCCAATCTCATCATGGCCCTCTTTTTTATTAAATGTGCTCCAATTGGTAGGCTAATTGCTTTAAAGATGAAGACAAAATTTCTTAGTTTTCACTATAACCTACTGTTCCAAGCTGTGTCTCCAGTGTATCTACCATAGCAGTAGTTGAATGGTTACAGAGAGTAGCTACTCTGAAAATGATGTGTTAAAGTGTCTTAGATTTTCCATCTTTTGCCTTTTATTCTTCCACTTGTGTTCATATCTTAACATTAAACTATATTCTATTGAAAGAAGCATCTCAGTGATGTTCCAGCAAAACTGGAATTAATAGTCCTGAACCCTTGAAGATGATAATATTGGTACCAACATCTTCTTGAAGGCCCTTTCTATCATTATATCATCATTATCATAAATACGGATATAAAGCTGATTTTTATTATAATAAAACAAGATTGAAGGCCAAGGCAGAAAGATCACTTGAGACCAGGAATTTGAGACCAGCTTGGACAACGTAGTGAGACCCTGTCTCTACAAAAAAAAAGAAAAGATGGAATATTCTGACCCTTTACCTGAGTCAAGGAGGTGGGACCAAGTAGAATTCCTTAGAAGCAAACCATAATATAAACTTCTTTGATTTACTCCCAGCGCATTCTGTGCTGGAGATCTATGGGTGGAAGCAAAGAATTTTTAAAAAATCAAAATAGTTTTTCCTACTAAAAACTTGGTGGGAATTCCAACAGGAGTAGTCAATAGACAGATGCTACCCAGTGAAATGACAGTCTCAGGTGAACTGGAGACTGGTACATGTAGAATCAAAGAGGCTTAGAGTCGGAAAGATATCAGAGATGACGCAGTGAAGCCCCCAGCCATAGACAGAGTCCCTTCAATGTCACACCAGTCCTGCAACTTCTTTTACTTCCACCCTCCAAATTATAGAGAACTGGCTCTTTTACAAGGCTGACACTGTCCTCATTAGAACCCAGCTGTTATCTGCACTCTTCTTTATGTTAAGGTATTTCCCCGGAATTACTGCACATTACAAATTTTGACATTTTAGGCTACAGAAATTTTGATTGCATCCCCTTGCTGTACAACAGCCCCCACAACACTTGCTCTCAGGAGTCTCACCTATCTTAAAATTCCTCTCTTTGTCACACTTCTCTTCAGATGTTTCCAACATGCACCGCCGCTGAAGTTTTTTTGTTCCAGTTATCTTCTGTAGGATGAAGAGTAAGTTCTCAGAGTGCCAAGATGGCAAAGCGATGCTTAACACATCGTCTGACTAATGAAGAATAATTAGAACATTTATTTTCCATGAACTATTTTTCTATTATTGTAGCTTAATATCATGCTAACTTTTTAAGCAACCATTTCACACTCTTGGTGCCCATTAAAAGTTTTTAGTCAATTACAATCCTTAATTTTTTTTTTTTCTCATGAAGTGTTGCCAAGGTAGGTATTTCCCAACCTGCATGTGTACCAGAGTGTATGTTAATCTCAGACCTCTCTGTGATCACGGGAAAATCGCTGGCCATAAACCTCACGTTATTAAACTATAAAATGAACCTAATAATGTTAGAACCACATGTGAGGTGCTGTAGAAAGTACCATGTCTGATAGATAAGTGCTCCTCTTATAAAGAACAGGCTATTTATAACCACTCTCTTCTCAAAAGACCGTAGGTGACCAGGCTAATTACCTTTCCAAAAACTAATTTTTAATCCACAGCCTTCCCTTCTCCTTACTCTACTAGAATCCCTGCTTCCAACAATTAAACACCCATCGAGTTAATTTTCTTTCCTCTCACACAGGTTGATTGAGCTCTTGACTTTCTTTCTTTCTTTCCTTCTTTTTTTTTTTTTATTTTTGAACAGCCGGTCAGGTCAAGAAACCCAATCCCTCTCCACCAACCGGAGCCCCGCCCCCTGCCCCCGGCTGGCCCGGAGAGTTGAAGGCCAAAGACGGCGAGGAGGGCGCTCGCTGCTGTGCTCCCGGCCAAAGCGCAGACTCGGCCTGCCTTATCCAGTGGGACGGCAAAGGGTCACTCTAAAAACTGCTGCAGTCGGGTCTTGTCAGGTGGCTGCTGGTGGCTCCCCACTGGATTTTCCTTCTCCCTCTCTCTGTCTCCACAGATCCCTTCCCAAGAGGAGTCTCCTGCTAAAACTTCATCATCTCCAGTTGACCTGCCACTTCACCCAAGGAGGGTAAGGAGCTGGGACCAGAGTCTCCAATTCCTGCCTTCTAGATCCTGGGGTGTGTGTGGATGTGTGGGTGGGAGACGGTGGGCTGAGTGTTTGTGGTTGTAGAGCTATTTCACTGAAGGGAGTCTACAGCTGGGTCAGGTGGTTCATGTCCCTAATCTGAAGTTGGGAGACAGAAAACATTTTTTTGAAATCTGAGAAATGTAGTGTGTTAGGAGAATGTCACAGTAACAGAAATGCATGACAGCGATGCGCTATAAACGTAAAACCACCTGTAATTTCTAACAAAAATTCTAAATCTCTAAAGCTTAAGATATATTTTTCTTTCACTACTTTATAGAGAAGGAGAAGGAGAGAAAATTCTTAGGCTTTGTTCACAAAGTTTAGAATTCTATCTTTATTTTTATCAAGAATCATTTTAACATTTGGTACTGATCAGTTTGGATAAAATGTTAGCAGTTTTAACTAAATCTGTAGCACAGATATCGGACAACTCTGAATTCCCAGAAATATAACCTATTGACAAAATGGAAATATCCTTTCTGGAAAAAAAAAATTTTGTTGTTTGGCTAAAAAATAGGTATTTGTCTTAAATGTGCACATGTCATTATGCTGACATATATTTTATATTCAAAATCATGTTGGAACTGTCATGGTAAAGTGGAAACCACCCCACCCCCATCACCCCGAAGCTGGACTTAAAATGGCAAGCGACAGAAGCCAGGAGGGTTGCTATTCCTGGAGGTAGGGCTGATGAGCCCCGACAGATGCAGTGATAGGAATGTGGTCAGGACAGGGAGCAGGAGCAGCTGATTCGCCCCTTTGGCAAAAAGACATTCTGGGATCCCAGTTCATACTGGCATGAGAGTGACAGTGACACTTTAGCACACATGGCTTTTCAGCTTGCCCTGTTGTGGACGCTCTCCCAGGAAGCACGGGTGCAGGGCAGTGGGAAGGAAAATGTTCTCAAATATGAAGTAACAACTCTTTTCTGTAACCAGTTCTGGGGGCCTTCTTCTGGGATCAGTTGGGGCCAGGAAGAATTTAAGTGCCATGCTTTCACATGGACTTGCCCACTTACAGACAAGGGTCCAATTATGTGCCAGAGCTTGGCAGCATTATTCTCAGTCCAGTCATTTTGGATCTATTTCGGATTATGGATCTCATGAAAACGCAGAGCCCACTGTGTGGAAAGTACACATACACATATGCACACAGTATGTTTCAGACTATCCCATAGGACTCATGGACTCGCCTGATACCCAACCCAGATCAGGAATGCCAGGTACAAGTCAGATCATCCAGCTACATTTAAATTTCAGGTAAGCTACAAACCAACTTTTAGTATAAGTATGTCCCCAACACTGCCTGGGGCGTACTTATACTAAAATATGATTCATAGTTTATCTGAAATTCATATGTAACTTGACATCTTGTATTTTTATTTGTTAAATCCAGCTGTTCAGACCCAGAGATATAGATCCCATGTAAAGAAACCTTGTCTCAGTTGGTTCATCCCTATCTGATAATGAGTAGATTCTAGAGATATGGAAGGCCATATTAAAGGGACATTTGATGTAGGAACAGATTTTGACAATTCTGACAGCAAAAGTCAGCTGTGTATTCATAACTCTCTGCAAAATTATAGAAGCAAAAGTAATGCATCTCCTTGTTTGACAGATGATTAAACTGAAATCCTGATAGGCTGGACGTTCTGACATAGGTCTATCAAGCGGTTAGAGCAGAATGAACACCGAAATCCAATTTTCAGTTCTATGATGATCAAAAACTCACTTTCTAACCTCCTCTCCCTCCAACACACAAAATACTAGGAAAGAAAAAGAGTCATTTTACTAAAGTTTTCAACAAAACCCAAACAAAAACTTTCGTACTGTGTCCTTGTGTCCTATATCCAGCCTTAGAGAATAGAATTGTAGTTAACTTTGTGCATAGAGTCTGTATTCTTTATAGATAAAGTTAGGCACAGCCTCTAGCTAAGTGGAACTATATGAAATTGAAAGTATTTGCTTTTAAACAAAAAAATTGATAATTTCATATTCAATCTAATACTTCTAAAGGAAGTGCTTGATTATCTGATAAACAAAGTCATGCAAGCCCTCCTTGTCCCTATTTATTTGGCTTACCTAACCTATTGGATTTTCACATTCTTAATACCCTTGATAGGATAAAGAAATCCACAGGATCGATGTGTCCCCAAACAAATTTATTTTACATTCAAAAAGGTAACTCTTTTATCCCATTATTTGGAACCAGAATGAACCATTTCATGTTCTCCATATCAAAATTTTAATTTTATAAACACTAGCCATACCTTGCACTGTCTCTATCCTCCCATGGTAGAAAAAGCTAACTTTTAACCTATTACAGTTTTTATTCTACCCTGGATTTAAGGAAGACAATATAGGGGGCCAGGGTTTCCATGGGTTTGAATTTTTGCCCCAGCACACACTGCATACTTACTTATGTGATCTTGGACAATTTTTTTTTTACTCTTTCTGATTCTTAATTTCTTCATTTGTAAAATGAACATAATATAACCTAACTTTTAGGATATCTGTAATATTTAAATTTAAAAACTAAAATTATGTAAAGTACTTAACATACTTTACGGGGCCCAGCACGTAGTATACTCTCAATTAATAAACACTAGCTATATAGCTGTTTTTTTAGGTGAAAATGGAGTTATCAATTTACATTAAATACATAACACAGATTCCTGCTTGGTGATGTATATTTAAGAATTAATATACTTAAATTTGGCAAATAGAAAAGATGATGCAAAATGTGATGATTTACATAATTCTGCCCAGCTGCTTATCAGGTGTTGAATACATGGCACTAGAAATGGCCCAAGAGCCAGGATCTGCAGTGGGCATGGGGAGGGGAGTGGGGAATTGCCTCTCTGTTACCCTTCTGCCCAGTTTCTAATGGGCAGCTCTTCCAGGGTAGTCAAGAGGCTGCTCTGCGTGATAGCAGATAGAGCAGAGGGAGAGAGACTGTGGAGTCCATAGCCAGGGAAGGTGAATTCTCTGGGCTTCCTCCACAGAATGAAAGGATAACTCCAGTAGCATAGGGACCCTTCTGCAACCCTCTGCATCCTGTGCAAAGTCTTTTCTTTGACCCAAAAAGGGAAGGGACTGGCAGTGCCTCCAAATAGCTGTTCATCCGATTACACAACCTCAGCTGCTGTGGCTAAACCTGCTCCTCCTTCCAGAATTTCTACTGTGGTAGGAATAGTGTGAAAAGTGCAAGCCACCAACATTCCTGGCAGAAGCTTGTAAAGTTCTTCCTCCCTTTGATCCCAAAAGGCAACGTGTTAGAGCCCCCCTTAGGTGGCCAGGGAGAACCAAGCCTGCTGTGGTTTAGGAAAAATGGAGAAACGGCCTTCACACTCTCCCAGCCACGGGCAGTTTAGCAAAGATGCATGCTTTTCCATGCAGACCATAATCCGAGTCAAAGCCCTCCCTAGGGTATAGTAATCACATCCTGGCTGATGGCCCTGGCTACCAAGCTTGGGCCCTGGCTACCCAGCTTGGGACGCCCTGAGCAGCTGACAACAAGATATTCACTCTGTTAAAAAGGAAAGAAAGAGAGAGAGCTTAAAAAAAAAAAAAAAAAAAAAAAAGAGTAAGTAAAACCCTCATCCAACTTTGCAAAGTTAAAGTATTAATTGAATCAAAAAGAATGGAATGTTTCAAAATGTATTGCTCAGCATGTAAGTTATACTCTACATATGAACACATACATGTAACTCATTTTTGTAACACCTCTTCCTCACAGCCACATTTTTACTGTCATTGTGACCCTCATTGATGACCTAGGAGTGCACAGTGAACATTGGTAACATTGTAGGAAAAAACAGTGAGAGTTCCTATAGGAATTGCTCTGACTACATGTCCACATGTGACCTGGTTACTGGATAATATGTTTTTAAAAATACTCAATTTTTTCCCAGTCATCTATTAGCCCATATCATCAGCCTCGAAGCCCAGCACTATGACCAAATTAGTAAAAGGAAGTAAATTAAATCGTTCCACTTTCCTTTCCTGTGCAAATATATTACTTTGCTGGCCTTTTATGACTTCTTTCCTTGAAGATTGCCCTTGCTCTTAACTTAAACATGATTGTGGAAAAACCCTGGTTCATCAAGTGGTGTGCTGTGTGTTTAGGCAGGTGTGTGTTTGTTTGCACCCAGTGTGACGCGCCTTGTGTCTGTACCCAGAAAGGCTCCAATGTGAGGGGCCTGGAGAGTTTGTTAAAGCCTTTCCTGTATGCCCCATGAGAACTCAGCCTCTAATTTCTGATCCCCCATAAAGAGGGAGCTAGTCTTTTCTGTAACAGGGCCTGCAGCACAAGATGGGGCTTATTAATTATTAGTTGACCACAGTTCTCCTCAAGCTGAGAAAAGCAGTGGCTTTGGGAGATGCAGGAGCAGGGCCACAGGCAGAGCATTTGTTAGGACATAGGAACAAATGAACAACTCTGCAGCCCTGAAGTCAACATCAGAGCTTTGCTCAGCTTCAAAGCAATGATCCTGATCCTCTGGTTCCTCTGAAGGATCTGCAGCAGTGTCCTTATTGGAGGAGCACGGCACAGAGTGAGAACACTTGGGTGGGTGGGTGGACAACCTTACCTATGAGTTACAGACCCGGCAATGAGATATCATGGTAGCTCTAAAGAAAGACTGAATTTATGAGTATAGATAGGAAAATCTGGCCACAAGAAAGTTGCTTGCAGGCTTTGATTTCAACGGTTTCTTTTCTTGAGACAAAGTCTCACTCTGTTGCCCAGGCTAGAGTGCAGTGGTGCAATATTGGCTCACTACAACCTCTGTTGTCTCCCAGGTTCAAGTGATTCTCTTACCTCAGCCTCCCGAGTAGCTGGGATTACAGGCGCACATCACCAGGTCCAGCTAATTTTTGTATTTTTGGTAGAGACAGGGTTTCGCCATGTTGGCCAGGCTGGTCTTGAACTCCTGGCCT